GGATTCAGTGTGTGGTTGGGACAGAGAGACTCTCCAGCAGAGACTGCCTGGACTGTGTGTCAGAGGTAGATCTAACTCTCTCTACAGGGGTGAAGTGTGACTTGCAGTCCAAGCTATGTATCTAGGCCTGGACGGGCGCCGCTAGACAGTGTCTCTGGCTTGGCAGCCATTTTGACCTTGGGGTTTGCCAATCAGGACCAAATGTGGCTCAAGTCTAAGCAGAGTGGCTACAGTTACCCATTCCATAAAGACTATTCCCCTCCATTCACATTCTTGTTTCTTCATTGACGTTGCAGCCATTGTAACAAACTATTTTTATCTTGTGAGGCGTCTTTTTTGGAACTCTATAGGCAAGAACAAGAGAAGTGACCAAAAGCTATATGGAAGCAGTATAATAAGAAATTGGTTCATAGATGCAGGCATGTAAGTTTATTTGAGTTAAGAAAAGAGGATTGTGGAAATTAAGAAATCAAGTATCTGATCCTAAAAATCCTTACACGTGTACTTAACTTTATTCTAGGGCTATCAAGCGATTAAAAAATTAATCACAATTCATTGCGATTAATCGCGCTGTTAAACAATAATAGAATACCATTTATTTAAATTTTTGGCTCTTTTCTACATTTTCAAATATATTGATTTCAGTTACAGCACACAAAGTGTACAGTGCTCACTTTATATTTATTTTTATTACATATATTTGCACTGTAAAAACAAAAGATATAGTATTTTCAAATTCACCTCATACAAGTACTGTAGTACAATCTCTTTATCGTGAAAGTTGAACTTACAAATGTGGAATTATGTGCAAAAAAGTGTTAAAAAAAATGTAAAACTTTAGAGCCTACAAGTCCACTCTGTCCTACTTCCTGTTCAGCCAATCGCTCAAACAAGTTTGTTTACATTTGCAGGAAATAAAGCTGCCCGCTTCTTGTTTACAATGTCACCTGAAAGTCAGAACAGGCGTTTGCATGGCACTGTTGTAGCTAGCGTCACAAGATATTTATGTGCCAGATGCACTAAAGATTCATATGTCCTTTAATGCTTCAACCACCATGCCAGAAGACATGCTTCCATGCTGATAACAGGTTCTGCTCGATAATGATCCAAAGACATACGGACTGAAGCATGTTCATTTTCATCATCTGAGTCAGATGCCTCCAGCAGAAAGTTGATGAAAATGAACATGCTTCAGTCCACACTGGACTCAGATGATGAAAATGAACATGCTTCGGTCCGTACTGCTTTGGATTGTTATCGAGCAGAACCCGTTATCAGCATGGAAGCATGTCTTCTGGCATGGTGGCTGAAACATGAAGGAGCACACAAATGTTTACCATATCTGGCACAGAAATACCTTGCAATACCAGCTACAAAAGTGCCATGTGAACATCTGTTCTCACTTTCAGGTGACATTGTAAATAAGAAGCGGCAGCATTATCTCCCATAAATGTAAATGTAAACAGACTTGTTTCTTAGCTGAACAAGAAGTAGGACTGAGTGGACTTCTAGGCTCTGAAGTTTTACATGGTTTTGTTTTTGAGTGAAGTTATGTAACAAAAAAAATCTACATTGGAAAATTGCACTTTCACGATAAAGAGATTGCACTACAGTACTTGTACGAGATGAATTGAAAAATACTATTTATTGTTTTTACAGTGCAAATATTTGTAATAAAAATAATATAAAGTGAGCACTGTACACATATTCTATGTTCTAAGTGAAATCAATATATTTGAAAATGTAGAAAAACATCCAAAAATTTAATAAATTTCAATTGGTATTCTATTGTTTAACGGTGCAATTAAAACTGCGATTAATCGCGATTAATTTTTTTGAACCGCGTGAGTTGACTGCGATTAATCAACAGCCCTACTTTATTCATTAACAGTCGCATTGAAATCAGTAAGACTTCTTGTGTGTATGCACTTGCAGGATTGGTACCCTAGTTAGTAAAGAAAAAATGCAGAAAGCATTGAAATCTACCAATTTGGAAAGAGTATGTGGAATGTTAGGAAACACCATAAATAAGGCACAGTACATTACATGTCTTCTGAAAGAGAAGAAGTAGCCATCAGTGTAACTTCATGAAAGGACTATTCAAAAATATGATTTTTTCTTAATTGTAAATTAGAAATGTGGAGGGGGAGGCAGCCAAACAATAATAAGCAGAATCAGCTAATTGTTTGCAGGTAGAAATAAAGGCAATGGAAAAGGGAGACTGAGTTAATGCTAGTCAAAAGGTAGGGAAGGGAGTTTTCTAAATAAAAATTGGGGAAGGAAGGACATACTAGAGAGAAGTGGTGTCTATTAATAAATGGAAACATGTGAAACCAAAATGGTGGCGATACTGAGCTTTTTATTATTATTTTAAAAAACTGGAACTTCTTTTTAAAGTCTGTCTTTAGAAAGAAAATAAAGAACAAAAGTTTGAACAAGTAGGAAATACAAGCCTGTCAAAGTAAGTACGCATAAAGAACGTCCCAGAGTACTTGGAAAACATGAACATGTACGAAAATCAATCTGGGCAAAATGCATGTGGAAATAATACAAAGGGGTCTAGACAAAATGACTTGGGACTTAGAAAAATGCAATCTAATACAGTTGCGGAAACGCGATTCAAACAAATTTAGTAAGCAGGAAATACTTGAAAAACAATAATGCTGAAAGAAACTTAAGGTTAATAGTGGTGAACAAATTAGATGCAGATTTCCAATGTGATAGGAGATGGGAAGAAAAAAGGTCAGGGCAACTTTGATGTGCTTGAAAAGGATAATTTCACAGTTCTGATATGGTTGAATGTTAATTTTAAACACTTTATTAGCAGAAATATATTGATAAACTGCAGGAAGTTCAAAGAATACTAGCAACAAAAGTTATTAGGAAGCCAAGGGAACTGATTAATAAAGAACAATTACGTTAACCTTTCTATCCAGCAAGTTGTTTAGATGACAACTAATACATGGTAGAAGTCCACAAATATTTGAAGGCTGTAAACACTCAGTAGGAATGGGCATTATTTAGACAGCTACAAGAGGTTAATATGGGAGAAAATGTGAAAACGTTAAGAAACAGAAAATTTAGGTTGATATTAGGCAAAGCTTCCTAGCAATAACATTAGGCTGGCAAATCATCTCCCAATGAAGTCCCCATTGCTTGCAACTTTTGAAACTAGCAGACATAAACAGAACAAAACACAGAATATGTATTTTAGGAAACAATCCAGCATCATCAGATAGATGGACTTCAAGTTCACATAGTGCTCTTCCATCTTTAATTCCTATGATTATATGAGAACTGGGAGTCCATAAATCCTTCAGAACCAAGTAATATTTACACCAAAGAAGACATGAAGAGATGGTACTAGTCTAGGATAGCAGTTAGAAGGACCAGATTTCTCTCTCTCATATATACAAACCTCTTTCTCCATGTGGGATCTCTGAGAAGAGAGTTTATTTAGTCATGCAGTTTCTTAAGGCCCAATGCTGCTCCCAGCGAATAATTTTGCCATTGTCTTCAATCAGAGAAGGGCAGGGCCCTTAGTTAGGATTAGGTTAAACTTTACATCTTGATTTATCAGATATTGGTTTTGTGTGTCCTGTATGACTTGTTCATTTTCTTTTAATACTGATGCTATTGTGTGTAAATAAACCTACCTTTTATTTTACATAACCAGATTAGAGCACTGGATACACTGTAGGTGAAGAGCCTAAACTGACCCATACAAGAAAAACACTGCATTAACAAAGAGGCTGAGAAATAACTATAAAGCTCCATTCTATCCTGAAAACATTAAACAATGTGATGGTGGTGGTGACTATAGTCACTAAGCAGACACTATGAAGAACTCTTTCTTATGGATTGATTTGGATCATGTGGGAGACTTCTGTGACAGAGGCTGTATAACATGACACCATGATGGAAAAATAAATTTATTTTTGTTAAAGATAGTTCCTTTTAAAATATAACCTTTCCTACAAAGTACATCCTCCTAAGGGCATGACATCTTATCTGTTAAATTCACATGGGTTAAACAAAGCTCAGCTCTAGAAAAGAGAATTTTGGCATTTCTTCATAGAAACAGAATTTTCTCAAAATTCTGCCTGATCCAGAAAAGACAGCAGAAAAGACAATCAACCTTCTAAATCACTTTCATGGCAACTAACTTTTGAAGCATTCTTTGAATTCTCCTTGAATCTGTAATCTTTATCTCAAAGGTCACACTATTATGGATTTATCCGACTACAGTAAAAAGAAGATACACTTTTTCAATAATTTGTTACGGTCTCTTGTGGGACATCTGTCTGGGCACTATTCATGAAAGACATGACATTTTATTTATCTACCTAATTTCAAAATATTACACCACATAAGGAAAACAAACATGATACTGCATTGATAAAAATCCTTTCATTTTTTCCACATGCAACATGGTTCTGTCAGAAAACAGTAACCTTATTTTCACTTATATATTCCATTTAAAATAAGAGGATTTTAAAAGGTACACAAAAAAGTCAAAATTGGCCCAAGATTTAGGTTTAATAGAAATATACTTTTATAAAACCTAAGACCAAAATAAACGTGCCTACGTTGTTTTGGGAGTTTTGTGTTCATTTGTTTGTCGTTCCAGGAAAACAACTTTTCTTTGGAAATAAACATTCCCCTGCAAAGTTAGCAATCCAAATACTTCAGCATTGTACTTGACGATGAGCCCCTAAAAGTTAAATTGATTAGACACTGTCCATAAACAGTCCATAAACAAGTGAAACTAACTGCCCAAGAGCTGAGAGAATTGTCAGATTAAACACAACAGTGAAATGTAATTTAGATTTTTAGTAGCAACAGTAAAAGGCATTTTTTTAAGTGCATTAGTTTTAATCTGACAGGAATGCTTTAAGAAGTGTTGAATTTCATTTACAAAGGTAAGAAACATATACTGTATTTATGCATTTGGTGTAGATACTGGTAATCACATAGATAATATAGCCAGATGCACTTACAGAGCTGGGACTAGAATGTCGTCTGACTTTAGGAGATTCTTTCCCTGCTGATGTAGTTTTGAAGTTAATGCAAGCATTGTTCTCTGAATGGACCCTCTTCACTTGACTAGTTGGTTTCTCAAATGGATCAAAACTGCTCTGTGTCCTCTGAACTCTGACTTTTTTGTCCTCGGGAATTGTGTCCAGGGGTTTGATCACTGAGTCCATTCCCTGGCAGTTCCGTGTAGACATCTTTGTGACACATATCTGAAAGAAAACAAATTAAATGCACTGAATATAATTTATACACCTGCAATTAAAAGATGAAATTTCAAGTGTAACAAGAACACTTTTTTTAAAGACTGAAATTTTATAAAACGTGTATTTTATATATCTATATATATGTATACACACACACACACACACACACACACACACACACATATATATATATATATACACACACACACACACACACACACCAGGTATGTACACAAATAGGTACATCAGATGTACTACTTAAAGGGTAGAGAAAAAAGATAGAAAGGACAAGAAAGGAGGAAGCAACATACAGTTTGTATAATCTTGTAAAATGACAAATTCAAAAAAAATGTCTCAGTAGAGGTCTATTTTATCTAAACTTTTGCAGGCTATTCTTTGTAACAGCGCCAGTCCACTTCTTCCTACAATCCAGTCACTGGTATCTGCAACCAGTATCGATTTCCATTTGTTTAAAATTGGATGAGAGCAAACTTAAATAAATGATACCAGTTTACATACATACTTTTGTGCTGCACTGCAAAGAGTCAATACCAGTTTATAATTATTGTATTTTTAAAAATAATGCTTATGCAGCATTATCATCACCACCATATGCCCCAGAAAATCAAATTAGTAAATCAATACCCAAGTACTGAAACATGAGAAACCTCAGCCTGAGGACACACTAAAGCACAAAGATCAGAGTTCTCTCATTTGTTCTTGCCACAGGGTTGAACTATATTACCTATGTTTGTGACAGGAGGGTCTGATCCTGCAAACATTTAGGCACATGTGTATCTTTTACACACTCAGTTACCACCATTGTGATTACAGGTTGCCAGCTCTTCTGATTTTACTATGAGTCTTGCAAAAATTTGTGGTTTTGCTTGATGCCCAGTTCCTGTACTCATGTAATTATATGACACGGCTTTTTTTTTTTTTTTTTTTTTTTTTTTTTTTTTTTTTTTTTTTTTTTTAAGGTTAATTTTCTAACCCTTGTGGTTAGAAAAGCTTGAAAATGGGATCCAAGTACACTTTAAAAGCTCAAAAACCCAAAGGCACTAAAAAAGAAACCAAAATTTTTTTCTGAAATACCTTGTGATTTTTAAACGTTTGGAGTTGGCAACACTGATTTAGTATCAATGGGACTATAGATGTGTACAGTTAAGCAAGTGTGTAAGTATTTGCAGGGCCCTTACTGATGATACTTTGAAAACTTGCTGAAGAATTACAAATTGGGTGTCATGTCAGGGATCAGTTTTAGAGATGTGTTTGTGCAGGGTGCCTCCCTCATAGCTATAACTCTGTTACCAATGCAAACAAACATTTTCCAACAGCAAATCATTCTTCACCGTTCCATTCATGGTTTGGTTGCTTGAAATCCAATTTACTTCGATTGTTCACTGACAGTAATGCCTTCATGCAGAAATAAAGGGTACAATACAGAACAAACCAATCATACTCTTGAATATCACAACACTCTTCCATAAACACCAAAAACACACAATGGTCCAAAGATTACCTTCATAATTAAATATTACATACACTGTACAGCATTATCTGAACTACCAGAGACAGGTTTAACTCTAATTAAAGGTACATGACTGATATTCCAATACAGGGATTACAAGTTTCATTTCTTATTTAAAAATACAATCAACTGAAACTTCATTGCTTTGAAAACTTGTTCTGGTACCAAAGATTAGGAGCAGTGCCTGTTCATCCTAAACCATATACACATTTTTGGGTAGAATTGGACTTAATAGCTAAACTTTGGTATATCGTTACTACCACAAAGAATCATAAACTGGTTGGTTTAGGAGTTAAGTGGGCTTCCCTTTTTAAAATGTATTTCCGTTCCCCCTACCACTATGCCAGCCAAAAACACACACACACCACTTTATACACTAAATATTGCTCTTTCTAGACATACACTGAAATCAGTGACGCTGGTGCACAACCCAAGATGTTTCTGACACAATAAATGCACAAACTAAAGCTGAGGTTAAACAGCAATGTTACATTTTGGTGCCATTCATGTTTTCCCAGTAAAATAAAATCAGTGAAGGGGAAAAAAAAAAAATCCCAGCTTCCAAGATATTATAAACTAAAGAACGAAAAACAAAAAACAAATAATAAAAAGGCTTCTAAAACACACTTGTCTTAATGAAATTGTTAAAGATCAACTGTCAGCAATTAAGCTTAAATATTTACAATTCAGCATAATGATGCTCTGATTACTACATCTGCCTTACATGGAGTTTTGTTTACATGTTACGCTGAAGAACCTACTGCTCAGTGTCAGGCTGTGATATGGGTTAAGCACACATTACCTACAGAAAATACACAGGCAGCAGATGTGCTGCCATGTATTGTGTGCCAAGCAGTGATGGTAATAGTTTCAAATAGGATGTCTTAGAGGACACTCCTTCACCTCTAGGTCACTAGTTTGAATCTAGACTAGGTAAAAATCCACCCAAAAAAATTACCATCCGGTGGCCTATGTAAAATGCCCACGTCACAAAATCCACCGTCAAAATTTGCTCCAAGTGGTCACCTTCTTGGAGGCTCTGCAACTCAGGGAATGAATGGAAATGCAGATTGAACAACACTCATAGAAGTGTCCCTTTCCAGGAGAAGAAGCTGTGGGAAGATGGACAAGCTTGGACTGCTACTGCCTCTGCTCTGCCTGTACTGTGAACAGAGTACATCACTCACTAGTTCTGTCAAAAATCCACTCACAGACTCTTAAAAAAATATTTCTTTAGCAAGTTTAATGGCACTAGATCAGGGGTAGGCAACCTATGGCAGTCGTGCCAAAGGCGGCACGCAAGCTGATTTTCAGTGGCACTCACACTGCCCGGGTCCTGGCCACCAGTCTAGGATGCTCTGCATTTTAATTTAATTTTAAATGAAGCTTCTTAAACATTTTAAAAACCTTATTTACTTTACATACAGCAATAGTTTAGTTATATATTATAGACTTATAGAAAGAGACCTTCTAAAAATGTTAAAACATATTACTGGCACGCGAAACTTTAAATTAGAGTGAATAAACGAAGACTCGGCACACCACTTCTGAAAGGTTCCCGACCCCTGCACTAGATACATTTTCTCCTTCCTGGGCACATATAATACAGTAATAAGTGTTATACATGCACATCAAGTGAGTATGAGCTATGGGATACTGAAGTTCTCTGGAATCTGAATTAACTAAGCGTTTGAGGGACGCACAGAACCCTCTATTCATAACTTTTAATACGCCAGAATTCTGCCATTTTCAAAAGGGTGTGGTTCGTCTGTTTGACCTGTTTTCCTCATGGAACTCTAAAAGGGGATGCTTTTTGACCAAATAGGTGGATTGAACAACACACATACCTTCTTCCCCATCTATTGTCAGAAAAAGCCAATTTAGGACTAAAATCTACCCTTTGCTAAGTCTAAAGTTTGAAATGTCAGCACTGAGCCATTGCCTATATGAGTTACCAGTATGGCTTAGTGTACTATTTTGGGGGTCTTTTCTCTGCGTATGGAAAGAGCCTTCATTTTATCTAAGAGGTCAGCAGAGATGCCTGGCACTGTACCACACACTACAGTGTGACACAAACTCAAACAAAATTCAGATTTGAAAGTAGCTGTCTTTTCCTTACATAGCATAAGAAATACTTTTGTCATTTCTTCATATATATTCTTATATTTTGGCCACGCAAAAGGCTGGCACAAGTACACGCCTGGCTATATAAACCTGGTTTTGGACCAAGTAATCTAACTGAGAGGTTCTCAAACTGAGGTCAGTAGATCTTTAGTGGTCTGGGACATACTTGCTGGTCGTCTGGAGCTGGCTGGCCTCTGCCTTACTTCCACCAGCTTATTTGCATTACACAGGAAGAATGATTTTACAGTTAAGACACTGGACTGGGTCTCAGAAGATGAGGGCTCAATTTCAGCACTGTCACAGATTTCCTGTGTGATCTTGGGAGCAAGTCACATAATCTCTGTGCATCCATTTCCCCTCTGTAAAACAGGAACCATAATCCTAATCACTGCTGATACTAAGATTGGCGGAATGGTAGATAATGATAAGGGACAGGACAGTCATATGGATCACTTGATAAACTGGGCCCGTTCAAACAACATGTGTTTTAATACAGCCAACATGCAAAGTTGTACATCTGGGAACAAAGAATGGAGGCCAGACCTGAAAAACGGGGAACTGTATCCTGGAAAACGGGGAACTGTATCCTGGAAAACAGGTGACTGAAAAAGATTTAGGATCACACTGGATGAACAACTGACCGTGAGCTCCTAGGGTAAAAACAGCCAATGTGATTCTTGGATGTATAAACAGGAAAATAATGAGTAGGAGTAGAAAGGTAATTTTACCTCTGTATATGGCATTGGTGAGATCAATTCTAGAATATAATGTCCAGTTCTGATATCCATATTTTAAGAAGGATGTTGAAAAACTGGAGAAAGTGCAGAAGAAAGCCATAAAAATTATTCAAGGGCTAGAGAAAATTCCTTTCAGTGAGTGACTTAAAGGGCTCAAAGTTGTTTAGTTTATCAAACAGAAGATTGAGAATTGACTTGATTAGTGTATGAATATCTTCACAGGGAGAAAATACTGGGTATTAAAGGGCTCTTTAATCTAATGGAGAAAGATATAACAAGGACCAATGGCTGGAAGCTGAAGACAGGCAAATTCAAATCGGAAATAAGGTACAAACGTTTAACAGTACAAGTAACCAACCATTGGAAAAACTACCAAGGGAAGTGGTGCGTTCTCCAGTGCTTGATGTCTTCAAAACAGGATTGGATGCCTTTCTGGAAGAAATGCTTTAGTCAGCCACAAGTTATTGGACTGAATACTGGGTAACTGGGTGAAATGTATTGGCTTGTGTTATGCAGTAAGACAGACTAGATGATCTAATAGTCCCTGCTGGTCCTTCAGCTCTATGAATATATGAATACAGTGCAATGAGGCCTGAATCTCAGTTGGGAATTCT